TAGACTATAGACTAGACTATAGACTAGACTATAGACTAGACTATAGACTAGACTATAGACTAGACCATAGACTAGACTATAGACTAGACTATAGACTAGACTATAGACTAGACTATAGACTAGACTATAGACTAGACTATAGACTAGACTATAGACTAGACTATAGACTAGACTATAGACTAGACTATAGACTAGACTATAGACTAGACTATAGACTAGACTATAGACTAGACTATAGACTAGACTATAGACTAGACTATCGACTAGACTATAGACTAGACTATAGACTAGACTAATAGACTAGACTATAGACTAGACTATAGACTAGACTATAGACTAGACTATAGACTAGACTATAGACTAGACTATAGACTAGACTATAGACTAGACTATAGACTAGACTATAGACTAGACTATAGACTAGACTATAGACTAGACTATAGACTAGACTATAGACTAGACTATAGACTAGACTATAGACTAGACTATAGACTAGACTATAGACTAGACTATAGACTAGATAGACTAGACTATAGACTAGACTATAGACTAGACTATAGACTAGACTATAGACTAGACTATAGACTAGACTAGACAGACTATAGACTAGACTATAGACTAGACTATAGACTAGACTATAGACTAGACTATAGACTAGATAACTAGACTATAGACTAGACTATAGACTAGACTATAATAGACTATAGACTAGACTATAGACTAGAGATAGACTAGACTATAGACTAGACTATAGACTAGACTATAGACTAGACTATAGACTAGACTATAGACTAGACTATAGACTAGACTATAGACTAGACTATAGACTAGACTAAGACTAGACTATAGACTAGACTATAGACTAGACTATAGACTAGACTATAGACTAGACTATAGACTAGACTATAGACTAGACTATAGACTAGACTATAGACTAGACTAGACTAGACTATAGACTATAGACTAGACTATAGACTAGACTATAGACTAGACTATAGACTAGACTATAGAGACTATAGAGACTATAGACTAGACTATAGACTAGACTATAGACTAGACTATAGACTAGACTATAGACTAGACTATAGACTAGACTATAGACTAGACTATAGACTAGACTATAGACTAGACTATAGACTAGACTATAGACTAGACTATAGACTAGACTATAGACTAGACTATAGACTAGACTATAGACTAGACTATAGATAGACTATAGACTAGACTATAGACTAGACTATAGACTAGACTATAGACTAGACTATAGACTAGACTATAGACTAGACTATAGACTAGACTATAGACTAGACTATAGACTAGACTATAGACTAGACTATAGACTAGACTATGACTAGACTATAGACTAGACTATAGACTAGACTAGACTAGACTATAGACTAGACTATAGACTAGACTATAGACTAGACTATAGACTAGACTATAGATAGACTAAGACTTAGACAGACTATAGACTAGACTATAGACTAGACTATAGACTAGACTATAGACTAGACTATAGACTAGACTATAGACTAGACTATAGACTAGACTATAGACTAGACTATAGACTAGACTATAGACTAGACTATAGACTAGACTATAGACTAGACTATAGACTAGACTATAGACTAGACTATAGACTAGACTATAGACTAAACTATAGACTAGACTAGAAATTAGTTTAAAATTGTACCTGTTATTGGATTACAATCGTAGGAATACTAACTCGTAATAACTTATGTAGGGTATAAAAATAAACATATAGATTGTGTAGCAAGCAGATAGCATATGGAAAGTAAATGTACATGAACGTAAAGAATGAATGTTGAGTAGAGATACATACATATAAAAAAAAAAACAAACAACACGAAACGAAAAAAATTAAAATTTTTATGCATACAAGGGTTTTATGTGTATAAATATCTCATACACGTACAATAATAATAAAATAACCCAGTTAACGAGTTTAGTTTATAAAATAAAAATAAATAAATTGTTTTAATTTATAAAAAAAAAATCTGATAAACCTACGTAGATTTAATCTACATACATTATTCCTAAAATATTTTGTTTTCAAGTTAATATCTAACTGAAGTTTAGATTCTAGTCTTCATAGATTTTTCCAATCCTAATTTAAAGCAAACATATTTAAAGTTAAGTCCTTACTTCAACGATTTAAAGTAATGCTAAAGGTGCATAACAATCATTACTTTGTAATGCTTTCTTCCTTTAAATCCATATATTTTGCTGGTTTAAACATATTTGCATCTTGTACTACTTTCTACGTTTAAAGCAACGAAAACGAAAATAAATTTTTTTCTTAAATAAAAAAAATTTACATTTTTATAAACTGCCACAAAGTCTGTTAAAGTGTTTTTTCTTGTTTTATTTTTTTTTCTGCATACACAACAGCTATAGATTTTTTCCTTAAACAAACTAAAGAAACGTTTATTTTAGATTAATTTAATACGTGGTTGGTTTGAGAAAAAAATATATGTATTCATTTAGATGTGGAATAAATTAAATTTAATTGAATATTTAAAAACATTTGTGACAATGAAACGGCTGCTGTTAACGATGTATTTGTACGCAGTCTAGAAAAGAAAAGTTTATTTGAAGAAAATAGAAATGGCACTGGAAGCAATATTCTCAGTGGAATTAAGTAAATCTGTAATTATATTAAAGAAAGAAAAACAGTAAAATATTAAAAGATATTTTAGGTAAATTAAAAGTTTTTCGAATAAAAATTTTTTGTATGACATTTTTTTACGAAAAATTTATGAAATGTTTCGTTTCAAAAAATTTATGTATAACTCAGTTTTCCTATGACAAAAATGTGTATAATTTTTCTGTTAACTGTTACTCTACGGAAAAATTAGCGTATAACAGTTATCTCAGCAGAAAATTGTATGTATAACATTTTGTTCATTACATTTGTGTATTATCGTTGTCGTTTAAAATTAGTATAACAGTTTTTTTCTCTAAAAAAATTTCTGTATAACAGTTGATCTACAGAAAAGTTTGTTTATAACTGCTTTTTCTATAGAAACAAAGGTGTATAACCGTTTTGTCCATTGAAAAATTTTGGTATAACAGTTTTATTTTCTATAGAAACATTTGAACATATTATTTTTCAACAGAAATATTTATGTATAACAGTTTTCTTTAAAAAAAAAAAATGTCATAGAAAAACTTGTCTATGAAAAAAACCTGTGTACATAATGAAAATTTTAGTAATAATAGTTTTTCCATAAAAAAATTTGTGTTTAAATTTTTTTTCTATAAAAATTTGTCTTTTCTATAGAAAAATTTGTGTATAACAGTTTTTATAGAAATATTTGTAAATAACAGTTTTTCCTATGATTGTGTCTAACATTAATATCTATAAAAATGTGTGTATAACAGTTTATTCTATAGAAACAGTTTTTCTAATAAAAAAATTTGTGTATAACAGTTTTTCTTTAGAAAATTTTGTGTATAACAGGTTTTCCTTAGAAAAATTTGTGTATAATACCTTTTTCTATAGAAAATGTTATGTATAATAGTTTTGCTAATGAAAAATTTGTGCATAATTTTTCAGTAAAAATTTAATCTACTGAAAAATTAGCGTATAACAGTTTTCTTAGTAGAAAATTTGATGTATAGTTTTAAAGAAACATTTGTTTATTATCTTTGTCATTTCAGACATTTTTTTCTATAGAAATATATCTGTATAACAGTTACTCTAAAGAAAAATTTGTTTACAACAGTTTTTTTATAGAAACATATGTGTATAACCGTTTTAACCTTTAAAAAATTTTTTGTATAACAGTTTTTTTCTATAGAAGAATTTGTATATATTATTTCTCTACAGAAAAATTTGTGTATAACAGTTTTCTTATAAAAAATGTTTATAAAAAAAAACTTGGGTATTAGTGTTTTCTAATAGAAAATGTTTGCTTAACTATTTTTCTATAAACCTTTATGTATAACAGTTTATTCTGAAAAAAAGTTATGTATAACAGTTTTTTCTACCGAAAAATTTGTATATAACACTATCTTGTAATGAAAAATTAATGTAAAACAGTTTTTATATATAGTTTTTTCTATAGAAAGACTTTTGTATAACAGTTGTTTCTATAGAAAAAATGTGTTTTTGTCTAACATTAATTTCTATAACAAATGTTTATATAGCAGTTTTTTACTATAGAATAACTTCCATATATAATAGTGTAATGACAAATTTGTATATAACAGTTTTTCTCTATAGAAAAAATTAGTGTATAACAGTTTTTTTCTATAAAAAAATTGTGTATTATAATATTTTCTTGGGACAGATTTATGTATACTAGTTTTTCTATAGTTAAATTTGTGTATAATAGATTTTTTATAGAAAGACTTTTGTATAACAGTTTCTTGTATAAAAATTGTGTACAACACTTTTCTATAAAATGTGTATAAAATGTGTATATAACAGTTTTTTCTATAGAAAACATTCTACCTGATGACAAATTTATGTATAACAGTTGGTTTCTAGAAAAACAGTTGTTTTCTAAAAAGTAGTTTTTTACAGAAAAATGTATTTATAACAGTTTTTTCTAATAAAAAATTTATATATAACAGTTTTTTTAAAGTGTATGTATAACAGTTATTTTCTACAGAAACATTTCTGTATAACAGTTTTTTCTATAAAATTTATATATAACAGTTGTTTTCTACAGAAAAATGTGTTTATAACAGTTTATTATAATAAAAAAATTTATGTATAACAGTTTTTTTAATAAAAAGTGTATGTATAACAGTTCTTTTTAACAAGAAATTTATGTATAACAGTTTTTCTATAAAATAAATTTGTGTAGTAGTTTTTTCTATAAAGTATTTTTGTGTATAACAGTTTTTTCTATAAAGTAAAATTGTGTATAACACTTTTTCTATAAAAAACCTCTGTATTATAGTTTGAAAAAACATTCTTTTTGTAATGAAAAATATGTGTATAACAGTTTTCTATTAAAATATTTGTGTTCTACCAATATTTATTTTTATTATTTCAAAAAATCTATTCACTTAACAACTTTACAAAATATGATTATAATTCCAACATTCAATTTCTCTTTCACAACATTGAGGATATTGTAGAGAAGGATCCAGTAGATGAGCTAATTTGCAATTAGGCGGCACAGTTTGCAAAGGACAACTGTAAAAACAAACATATAATATTAACCAAACATAAACTTTAAAACAAAATTCCTCACACCTTTTTAATTCCACAATAGAATTTTTACCACAAATTATAAGACCACACTGAACAAATGGATCTTTCATTGATGCCATTTCAGGTAAAATTGTTTCAGCATCAATGACACAATTTCCGGGATACCCTTTAAATTTAAAACATATAAAACCTAAAATTTATCCACTTGAAAAGAAAAATATTTATTTTATTTATTACTCGCATCTTTAAAGGATCCATATATCCGGCTTGTCCAAATCTCCGATACAAATAAACTTGAGAAAATAATACAATAAACACAAACAAGTCGAAATATCATCTTTACACTTGAACAATTCGAATAAAACTGATAATCGTATTTTATGTTTTTCTTTGCCCATTCTTCTTTTTTATTTCTTTTTGGCTCTCGTTGTTGTTGTAGCTTTAAATGTATCTAAATGATAAAATTTTATTTACGTTTTGTTGTTTTTAGATTTTTTTTCATGCTTCCTAGAGGTTTTCTTCTTATCTTGATTTGAACTGTCAGTCAAAGTAACACATTTTGAACTCTGACATAAAATTTTGATTCTTTTCGTTTTTGACAGAAAATAAAATAAATAAATCTGATTGTTTAACATCTGCTTAGGATTTATCAATTTATTTTTGTTTTTCTATTTGTTTTGATAGAACATTTCTACAAATTTAAAGAACTAATAAGGTAATAGTGCACAGTGGGATGAATTTATTTTATTTATAAATTGTGTAGTTTTTCTAATAAATATAACATTTTGTAACATTTATACAATTTTTTCTAAAGGGAAATTTTTGAACAAAATGCGTAGAACTATTTTTGTTAAAAAATACATATAACAGTTTTTTCTGTAGAGATTTTTTGTAGAATTTTTATATAAAATGTTTTTCTATAGAAAAAATTACGAAAAATTTGTGTATAACAGTTTTTTAGAATAAATAAAATATTTTTCAATAAAAAAATTTTTGTTTAACAATTCTGTATAGAAAACATTTTTATAATATTTTTTATAGATATTTTTCATAGAAAAATGTGTGTATAACAGTTAGTTACATTGATAAATTTATATAGATAATAGTTTTATCTAAATATAAATTAGTTTTTGTTCCAATATTTTTTTTTTAACAGTTTTTTCTATAGAAAATTTTATATATATAACAGTTTTTCTCTAGAAATAATTCCGCATAACAGTTCGTTTTATAGAAAAAATTGTATCTAACAGTTTTATCTAAAGAAAAATTAATGTTGGTTGAAATATTTTTTGCATTAAAGCATTTTCTATAGAAAAATTTAAGTACAACATTTTTATTATAGAATACTTCATTTATAACAGTTTTATTATAACAAAAATTTTGTTTATTACATAGAAAAAATGTTAACAGTTCTAACTAAATAAAAATTTATTTTTGTTCAAAATTTTTTGTTTAACAGTTTTTCCTACAGAAACCACTGTGTAAAATTTTCCTTTTTAATAGAAAACTTCATTTATAACAGTTTTGTATATAATCGTTGTCAATTCAAAAATTTTAGTATAACAGTATTTTATAGAAATAATTCTGTATTACTCTACAAAATTTTTTTTATAACAAGCATTTGTGTATTGCAGTTATGTGCATTAAACTATTTCAGTATAACAGTTTTCTTTATAGCAACATTTTGTTTTTTTTTTCAAAAGAAATATTTGTGTATAACACTTTTTCTTTGGATAAAGTTATGTATAAAAGTTTTGTATATAATTTTTCTCTGTTACTCCAAAGAAAAATTAGCGTATAAGAGTTTTCTCAACAGAAAATTTTGTGTATTATCCTTATTTCAATTAAACAATTTTAGTATAACAGTTTTTTTCTATAGAAATATTTTTCTATAATATTACTTTACAGAAAAGTTTCTTTATAATTGTTTTTTTTTTTTCTACATTTTGTTTTTTTTTTTAGAAAAATTTTTGTGTATAACACTTTTTCTTTAGATAATGCTATGTATAAAAGTTTTCCTATTGAAGATTTGTGTATAATTTTTCTCTAAACTATTGCTCCACAGAAAAATTAGCGTATAACAGTTTTCTTAACAAAAATTTTGTGTATAACAAATTGTTTTAAAGAAACATTTATGTATTATCGTTATCCCATATAAAACATTTTAGTATAACAGTTTTTGTCTATAGAAATATTTCTGTATAATAATTACTCTACAGACACTTTTTATAATATTTTTTCCCATATAAGCAGTTCTGTATAACAGTTTCGTGCATTTATATTCTTTAGAATTTGTGTATAACACTTTTCTATGTATAAAAGATTTCCTATTGAAAATTTGTGTATAATTTTTCTCTAAACTGCAAATGCACAGAAAAATTAGGGTATAATAGTTTTCTGAACAGAAAATTTTGTGTCTAACAATTTGTTCAAAAGAAAGATTTGTGTTTTGACGTAATGTCATTTAAAACATTTTAGTATAACAGTTTTTGTCTATAGAAATATTTCTGTAATGTAATAATAATTACTCTACAGACATTTTTTATAATAATTTATCCTATAGAAACGTTTCTGTACAACAGGTTTGTGCATTAAACAATTTTAGTATAACAGTTTTTTCTATAACAACATTTTGTTTTTTCCTATGGAAAAATTTGTGTATAACACTTTTTCTTTGGATAAAGTTATGTATAAAAGTTTTCCTATTGAAAATTTGTGTATAATTTTTCTCTAAACTATTGCTCCACAGAAAAATTTGCGTATAACAGTTTTCTCAACAAATGCTGTTGTGTATAACAATTTGTTTTAAAGAACAAATTTTATCGTTATGCCATTTAAAACATTTTAGTTTTTGTTTATAAAAATATTTCTGCATAACAATTTTAGTATAACAGTTTTTATATATAAAAATATTTCTGTATAACACTTTGTCTATAGAAAAATTTGTGTATAAAAGTTTTCCAATTGAAAAATTGTCTAAACAGTTATTCCCCGGAAAAATTTGCGTATAACAGTTTTCTCATGATAAAATTTTATGTATACAAATTTGTTTTAAAGAAACATTTATGTGTTATCGTTATGTCATGTAAAACATTTTAGTATAACAGTTTAAATCTACACAGTTTTTGTCTATAAAAATGTTTCTGTATAACAGTTACTTTACAAAAAAAATTGTTTATAACAGTTTTTCTATAGAAACATACATTTTTAACCGTTTTTTTTAATTAAAAACTTTTTGTATAACATTTTTTTTCTATAGAAAAAATTGTGTATAACTGGTTTCTTATAGAAAATATGTAAAAAAAATCATTATTATTAATTGAAAATTTTCGAAAATATTCTAATAATTCGTTTTGAAATAAACAAATTATTTGAGTTTTATTATTACCCTGGAAAAACTTTAATTACCAAGTAAGGAGTATAAAAGCAAATACTTATCACAATCGCTTACTTTACAAAAGTAGTTAATGTAAATGCTATAAAAAACCATATACAACTTCTATAGCTTCACGGAGAAGACGATTAATGAATTATGAAACGTTATAAGACTACTTCTATGTAATCATGACGATATGTAGTAGTCATTAAATAGTAAGTTAATAGGTAAGTAGTTACAATTGAAAGCCATTATCTAGATTTTGCTGGGTATTTCTAAAAGTATTATTGGACTTTCTTAAAGAAAAAAAAATGTATTCCAAAACTTTCTGCAACTATTTACTTAAACTATATCAGTGATGGTCAATAGTACTTGTGTGTGAAGCAACAGAAATCGAAAACTTTAGACCACTTTATAAAATTTTCTTTAATGAAATTTTGAAATAGTTCTATAGCTTTACCGTAATTATAGTTATCGAACACCCGTATATGTTTATTTATTAAATACCCATAGCTGATTAAAACACATATTCATTCATCTATTCAACCATATTTTGCTTATCAATTACTGTATGTTTGTCTAACTTGTGGTCTCTAATAGTGGAAATTCCAAAAAAATGTTTGAAATCAAATTTAACCACGAAAATGTTTGCATTTTGAAAATCTAAAGTGGGGGAAAATTTAATTGAAAATTGTATAAACAATACGTTTAATTACGGATGTATATACATACATACATATGTATACATATTTATATACAAAAGTATGTATGTGATATGTTTGTACATGTAGTATGTATAAGTGCATGACTATGTGCAAGTATTTAATGCAAAACCATGGCATATTTTTAATTTATGAAAATTATTCATTAATTTATTGTTTATGCAGAGGCCAAGTGTTCAACACTGGCACAAGTGTCGTTGACAATTAAATTTTTGAACAGTTTTGTCTAAATAATATTTCAATTAAATTTAATAAACTTGTTATTTTTATACAAAAAGCAACTAAGCAATTATTAAACAATTGATTATGAATTTTTCATAATATTTATGAAATATCACTTTAATTTATCTTCATTTAAAAAACTTTTGAAAAATTTCCAATTGACCTTTAAACAAAAAATTTTGCCTATTTTTATATAATAGAAATAAATCTACTAATTTCTTTTTTTTTATTGATTTTTATTTTATTTTGATTTTTTTCAACAAATTTAGCCATAAAACCACAATATTTTACACTCAAGCCACTAACTAATTAAGAACTAACAGATGTCAATACTGACAATATGCAACAGCAATAAAAAAATAGCTAAAATAAAACACACACCAATTATAATAAAATTTATCAAGTTTTACGAATTCAGCAAATTTTTTTTAAGAGAAAATTTTATTAAATTGATTTACTGGAATTTTTGCTGTTTAATCAGTTTTGTTTATAAAAAACCCTAAAATCATTAAATGAACATAATGAAGGTTTTTCTGCGGAATTTTTGATAACTAAATGAAAATTGGCACATAGCTTCTCCTTACCTAGGACTAGTCTGTAGACTAGTTAGTTAGTCCAATTTGTGGACTAATCAATAAACTAATCAGTGGACTACAGAATAAATTATTTTTTAGAGTAGTCATATCTCTCTAGTCATTATACTAGTCAAGTATTTAATAGACCAGTCTGTGGACTGGTCTGCGGATTAGACAACAGAATAGTCTGTGGTCTAGTTAATAGACTAGTCTGTGTATTGTTCAATATAGTCTGTAGGCTAGACAATACTCTACTCTGTTAATTAGTCAATGGTCTGTGAACTATACAGTGGACTAGGCAATAGACTAGACTGTGAACTAGTCAATAGACTAGACTGTGTACTAGTTCATAAACTAGTCTATGGACGAGTCAGTATAGTAATCTGTGGATTAGTCATTAGACTAGTTTGTGGACTAGGTAATATACTAGTCTGTGGACTGGATAATAGACTAGTCTGTTGACTAGGTAATAGACTAGTCTGTGGACTAGACGATAGACTAGCC